AATAATAATAATAATAATAATAATAATAATAATAATAATAATAATAATAATAAATCTCACTTGGTTCCTGGATCTGCAACAAGGACATCATCTTGTAATAGATTGATTGCAGTTTGTGTTTTGCCTTTCCAGAGGAGATTTGTGGCTCGGAGTCTCCTGGGTAGTCCTGGGTCAGGCAACAGTAACACAATTAAATTAAAGAGAAAAATAAATCCTATTATTGCATAAGACAAGTGAAGAAAAACTGTATTTGTACGCAGTAGGTCTCCCTCTTGCAATGATGTTTTGTTTTTACAAGTGTGTGTTCAATTTCCATTTCAGTGCACTGTTTTTTCCACCTGTCTTGAAACAGCTCTTCAGACAAATGAGACCAAGTCCTGGGTCTCTGAATGTAATTCTTGTGCTCGACCCTGATACCTCAGCGACAAACAGAGGCACGGTAAGATACTTAAACATCTAATACTGTCTGTGCTTCAGTGCTAGTTTCTTTCATTTTTTCCACCTATTTTATATAATTAAATCAACTGAAGTGTTAAGGCTTGAAAAAAGAAAGAAGTGTTGTTTTTTCAGAACTGATGCAGTTCTTTGCTGATTAATGTAATGAGTCAGCTTTTAGAAACATAGGCATTTTTATGCCTAGCATAAACCTGTCATCAGAATACGTAAAGCCAAGTCCATTGTGTGCGTATGAATTCAACAAATAGTGGGAGATGCGGTAGCTCGTGATCAGTGCTTTGGTCTTGTTATCATGAGATTGTAGGTTTGAGCCAAGGTTGAGTCAGGAAAGGCATTCAGCATAAAACAAATAGCATTTTTTTTTTGTGTGCGTGGAGCAGCTAAAGTAGATACAAAGTCCACGAAGCGATGAAGGACAAAACACATAGAGATGCCTTTGTACAAATAAAATTGGAGCCCACACTTCTGCAACGTCACAGACGTTTTTCTATTTTCTTAGATCTGATGTCTGTAGTTTATCATTTTTAATGGAAATATTTGTTATCCTCCGAATACGTACCAGAGAGCTGGCTTGCCATTCTGCGCAGGGTGACTGAAGAGGAGCGAATCTGAACTTCCCCACTGTCCAGAAATATCAGGCCGTCGGTCACATACTTCAACTGTGAGTCTCTGGTCTTTCCTAGAGGATTTTTGATTGTGAAATTATCTACATATTTTTCAAGGGGGTCATCTAAGGAGCCGATCTTTCCATCCTCCCACAGTTTGTAGAGCATCAGCGTAGGAAAAATCTTGGATAGGCTGGCAATCCTGGAAACAGATAAGAGCGCACTGTGACTATTTTTTATTCTTACAGAAAAAAGTCAATTTTATCAAGGCACACCAAAGTTTATTCCTTGTCTTCTACCACAAAATGAGTTAATATACAGCACACATTGCAAACAGCCAACTTTATTAATTTAATTTCTTTACATTATAATTAGGAGCAGCTTGCGCAATGAAAACATTTCTCTGACAACAAAAAGCTGCTACTCAGGTTATTAAATCATGTTTTTAAATTAAGATTATAAATCAATAAAAACAACTTTCAAAGGACGCATCTGAGTTTATAACAACATTGTTTTCATTTTTTATGCTTTTGTATTTTAGTCTGCGTTGCGTGAATCTAATCCAACATTTCTATAAGACCCACACTTTGATCAAAAGATGAAAGAGTTGTCACTAACATAATACTAATCTTATTTTGCTTATTTTTGATCGGAAACGAGAGGAAAAAAAACGTGGTGACTTAATGTAAAGCTATGTCCTGGTACCGTTTATCCCAAAAATTGAACTTTCAAACTAAAATTTCGTCCTGTTTGAGAAACTGTTTAATGACAACATTTGTTTGTAGATACTGTTACAACATGGACGTGAGGTTGGACTCAGGGTGCAGACAGGACTCTGGAACTCAAGGATTAAATAAATGATATTTATTATACAGAAGGGCTGACGTGGCAGCAAAACTTGCATGTGGGGAGGATATCACAAATCAGGAACAGAACATGACACCAAGAAGGACAATGCACAGACAAATGAGAAGACACTAAAACACAGAATCAACAGGAACACCAGTGATCAACAATGAAGAACACCTGGGGTGATTTGGACAGGGGACAGGTGTGTAGGAGCGTGAAAAATACAGGGATGACAAACACCAACACACACCAATCCTCACATATACAATGTTGGTACAACAAAATTGAACAAAAATACATTTGACCTAAACATAATTTTACTCAGTTTTGTATATTTTTTTGTTTTTATTCTGATAAAAAAATATAGCTACTTCAACATTTACAAAAAAACAACAACAATAAAACAAAAAGGAAATAAAACCGTTGTTAGAATATGATATGCTTGTGCTGTGCTGACATCTGTAATATCTGACAATCGTCACGAAAAGCTCACAGACTGTGAATTTGAAACATCATTGTCACCAGACCTTTAATTTAACTTAAACTTAAGCTCTCAGCTGAACTGAAAATCTGCTCAGGCGTTAACGTATCAGAAGAAGAATGGTGCGTTTTAGCCCGATAAAAAGTTTTAATAATCAGCTTTATGTGTTTACCCTTGAACATAATGTTTTCTTCAGCTTTAGTTTTTTAAAATACCCTTTTTTAAAATGATGGACAATAATGATTTGGATTGTTTCTCTTTGTCTGTTTATAACTGACTTCATCAATGAAGAACATGAAATGTTTTATTTTATTTGACATTAATTTGTACAGGTAGTCACACTGAGACAAGATGATTCATTTTCAAGAGAAACATGTTTATAAAAAACACCATACATCTTGTTTCTATGAAATGTTCTGTTGAAAACCAAACCATTACGTGGACGTCATTTTGACAAAGATTGCCTCCAAACTTACTTGTTCCGAAGGCTAAAGTTTTACCCTTCAGAACAATCAATCAGTTAAACTTTTTTTTTCACAAATCAAATATTTTACTCACATTTAACAATTTAATGTTAAAATAAATGATTCATATAAAAAGTTTTATTTACACTAGGTTTAAAATCAGACTCATACAAACCCCACACTTGTACAGCTGTTTCTATATCTGCATACACATGTTTAGCTACAGTAGTAAATTTTGTAATGAGTCTTTTGTAGAAATAACAGTGGAGTTATCGTCACCTGGTGTGATGAGTGTGCAGTGAGTTAACATACAATCTGAGTCAAGAATGTCTTGACCACACAGGACCACTGATAGTTTTAATGTTACCACAGCTGGTAGCATCCTCAAAGCAAAGATGTCATCTTCCAGCCCCTCTCCTCCCCAAGGACATGGACCTGTGTCAGAGCTCAACTGCGCTGGCTGATAAACAAACATCTCTTATCAGGACTATGGCTCTGGGCTCTGGACTGTGCTGTGCTACAACTTCCACATTCAGATTCAGTTTATTATTGCCATTGTCAATGAACAGGATTCACAGACTAGGAACTCGCTTTGGCATAAAGGCGCAAATAAAACAAAAAAGAAAAAGAAAACATATGTACACCAATACAATACAATACTAAAAAATAAAACAGTGCAATTAGAGTAATGCAATGAAAATACAGTGGTAAAGTGACCAAGGCAGAGTTGTAAAGTAACGTGATTATAAGGGGTGGTTATGACTGAGTGGTTAGAGCAGTCATCCTCGAATGCAAGGGTTGGGGGTTCGAATCCTCCAGCAGTCACATGCCGAAGTGTCCCTGGGCAAGACACTGAACCCCTCATTGCCTCCAATGTGTGTCTGATCAGTGTATGAATGTAATAAATCACCGATTAGTCTCTTTAGAATGATTTGTTCAATTATTCTTTGTAGAGATCTAGTAGAGTGCTATATGAACGGGTAAATGAAGACAGATTGTAGTGTAAAGAGCTTTGAGTGTCTCAGTAAGCTAGAAAGGCGCTTGTAAGTACAATCCATTTACCATGTGTTCAAGAGTCTGACGGCAGAGGGGAAGTGGTTCGAATAGTCCATATGCAGGGTGAGAAGGGTCAGCTGTAATCCGACCTGCTTCACCTCAAACACATGCCTTTGCTGGCCTCCCTCATTGCCCTGCAGCAACCTAGGAGATGCAAAGGTGCCAAAGGGCTGCGTCACTCACCTGGCCGCCGTGCTGGGACCCACTCCCCCTACACGCATATGTATTGTCTATTTATGTTTGCTTTTTCTGTGCTCAGGTAGTGTTTTGCTATCTTACATTGTGTCTTTGACGCAATGTGAGAGATTTTTTTCTTATACCTCCTCCTTTTCTTCACATTTTTCTCTTTCCTTATCTAATGAAAAGGTGGCGCTGCTTGCTAGTCTGCGGCTGCAGCCTCAGACATCTGTCTCCCCCATGTCTGCTCTTTCCCTTTCTTGACGAATGTACTGAAACGAAATTTCCCTTTGGGATCAATAAAGTATATTGATTGACTGATTGATTGATCTTCCACTCTTTTTAGCAAACTGTAATCATGTTCAGATAACCAAAGTCAAACATGCATGCTTTTCAAAACATCAAAAAAATACTTTAAAAATAGATCATACAAAAAAAGTAGTGTATTTTGACACTTTTTTGTTTTTAAAAACATGTTTTAAAAGTTGCAAATTTCATTTGACAGTTTGATCATTTAAAAGGAGACGTGTTTACAGTGAAATAATAAAAGTTTGAGCTTTTAAGAATGTATTTGTTAAAAGAAAACAGGCATTTAAACTAATCAGCAAAAATCTTTAGCTAAACTCAATAAATAACTGTTTAAACAAGACATGTTTATATATATGTATATATATATATATATATA